ACATCCAAAGAATGCAGTCGATGCAATATTTTGCCTGTAGGTGCGAGTGACTTGGCACTTATAAAAAAATTACTAAAGTAAGATTACTGGCCATTCCTTGTCTCATAGATGTCAATATTCCCAGGGTGCACTTGGGTCGTGCATTCGAGAAATGCTAGTTTGTCGAGATGGACGTCAAAGGTGCGGCTCTTGTATTGCCTGTAGAGAATTATTCCGAATAAAAATCCCTAAATGCAAGAATAGGAGGATGTAGCTCTTCMAAAATGTYKATATTGTGCTAGAAAAGCATGAATTTCACGTTGCAAATTAAGTCAAAAAAGTGAGCTTTTCGCTGTTGTCCCAGGAAGTGCAAAATTCGGAATTGAGCATCCACGTCAAGACAAAAGACTTATTCGACCTAAAAACTTGATTTCCGAGACATGCTTTTAATTGGAATATTGAACTTCTTGTCTTGTTGTCTTGTAAGAGCAAGTTTTTCAGAGGCATCTAGCCATTTTGGKAAATTATAATTTTTGGAGTCATCACTCCTGTGGTACTGATGATACCGATGGCCGTAGGGAAAGGGTTAAAATCGAATTATTCTTTGCACATCCTGTTTAGTATCTCTTAAATGTCCTCTAGCGTGACAATCACGTAATTTGAGACACTTTTTCAAGACGAGCTACTCAATCCAAAACAACACATGTTTGTAGGATAGTTTCAAGTACCTCAATTCAAAGTCAATTTTCACCATGCGATAAAGCTCTGAATCCAATAATTTTTTGCTTGTACAATAATAAAAGAACAGGCTTTCCAACGATGTAAAAATATCTCTGGGCAAATAAATAGTAGCTGAGCTACAGTCCGTCAAAAACCTCAATTTTTGACCTTGAAGGTCAATCGCCGTAAATCAAAACACCGAGAAATCTGCAAAGTTTATTGCATATATCAACTACTTTCTTCTTGAAATGTTAGAAATCATTCAAAAAATGTTGTAATTTGCCTTTCTGAAGGCGCTGCTTGCTCCACAATGTGTAATCTTTTAGATTTGCCACATATTGTAACCGGACTGTCCATGTCAGAGAGCWTTATAATGCAACAAGTTGCAAGTTAGCCCGTGTTTATCATAGCCTGCGTGGCGGCTCTAGGGGAAGGGGGAGGGGGAAAACGGAAGGGGAGGTGGTGGGGAGGCGGAGCGGAAAAAAGAGAGCCTGCCAGAACGAGCTGCTAAATCGTGTACCGCCTACTAGAGGTCATTGAACCGGAAATGGTTCGTTACTTGTCAATTTCATGTTATGTGTTTGTCACCTTCTTATTACCAGATTTATTTATAGTTCAAAGCGCCTTTCGAAAAGCAAACATACTACGGTACCCTGGGAACCAGAGGCTGGATTTACTCGTTCTTGTAGCTTATATACGGCGCGAAGCGCCGTCCTTGAGGCCGAAGGCCGAACCGTAAATCAGTTCGTAAATCGGTTCGGCCTTCGGCCTCAAGGATATAAGCTACAAGAACGAGTAAATCCAGCCTCTGGTTCCCAGGGTAATACTACGGTAGACTGTCTTCCAAATTCAACAAAGCAACACATGAATTTCGTGTATGTACGTTATGACATTTGAACCTCATCTTTCTATAGTATAAAGACTCTTTGAACTTCGGCTGAAAGGTTCGGCTGTACGTAGAATACACATTCACGGATGCTATTTTAAAAACATGTAGCTACTTATGCTACTCTTTACAAAATGACAAAAATGAAAATCCGAATCTATATAGCCTATCCAACAGAGATACACACGACTTGTTGGACGATCAAGATCACAGTTTTCCCTCACTGACTTTTCAATGTAGCGATCAATAAATTCGACTTTGTAAACCATCTTTCCGTGTTGTTTTGGTTTTCAGAGTTCTCGAAATAGCCTGGATATCGTTATTTTGACAGCGAATTGAAAACGTCAATCACAGCGCTGATTTAAACCAATCAGGAAGCGCGGCCTCTGGAGGCCGCGAGTACACGATTTAGCGGCTCGTTCTGGCAGGCTCTCTTTTTTTTCCGCTCCGCCTCCCCACCCCCTCCCCTTCCGTTTTCTCCCTCCCCCCTCCCCTAGAGCCGCCACGCAGGCTATGTTTATCATGGCAAGTTCAAATACTCTTGTATTTTATGATCTTTGATGAGTCATTGGTTATTCTGGCTGTTATTTTTTGTTTACAGGTGATCTGATCGAAATAATTATAGCTGTTTTCCGTTCAAAGTTTCATAACTCTGTGCAAAAAAACCTACTCACTAGGGTAGGGACGGGCAGTATTTCTTAAACCACAGCCTTACGTACGCTAGAAAAATATTTCAGCCAAAGATAATTCAAAGTATAAGCTTTGCAAGAACTCATTAATGAAAGAGATTAGCCAAGAAAAACAGAAAAAATGTAAAAAAAAACGGACAAAATCTTTAGTCCGGAAATTTTTCCATACATCTTTTGTAAAATTAACCTCAGTATACCGGAACCTCTCTACTCCGAAAACGGGACAATTATTTCGGTACCAAATGATATTGTAAAGTAGAATTGAACCCCTCTAATCCGGAAAGTTAACCCAAACACTTGTTCTTCCATTCAGTATCGATTTTTTCGTGTTTTATGTTGATTGTTTTGTATTCATTTTTACTTGAACTTTCGTTTACATGTTTGTTTATACTGACGACAAACAATTCTACCTCACTACCACGTGACTGGAGATCACATGAGAGATTGCGTTACACCATGACCGGTCACATTTTGCGTTGTTCGCCGTCGAGCTCGGTCGCCTTTACGTTTGTCTAAGTAATATTTGACTTAGACAAGAAAATACTAGTTCTTTTACCTGTAATTGTAGTTGGAATTTATCTGCTTCGATCCAAACGCAGAACAGCGAAGGGAAATGTCTTTAGACGAAGAAACGGGCGATGTTTTACGATGAGAACAAGATGAGATAACACGTGGTCAGGACGACCATACAGGAACATTTAGTCTTGACGTAGTCAAGACCATTACTGACTCGCTGAGCCAGAATTTTAAGATATTACATAAATCATTGGCAAAGAGTTTCACCCAACTCACAGATAACCTGCAACAGCCCGTGGCCGTCGAAAGTATCGAAGATGACAGTTCACAGAGCGACGAATGCAGTGAACTAGAACGGCCAGAAGATAAAGAGGTTGTCGAAGAACAGCCTAAAACTAGTGAAACTACTGACTCTGTACCGAGTCGACTTTTGGCTAGCCTTGAACGAAAGTCTAGCAATAAGGAGAAAACAGGCCCGAAAATTAATGAGAGCTTAGCTACAAACATAACCAAGCTTATGCGACAAAAACCGGAAGAAGACTTCGAGAAAGAGACTCTCGATAAAATTTACAGACCTGAGAACTGTGCTGGTCTGTCGCAAATTAAAGTAAATCAAGTAATTTGGGACCGTGTTCCCGCGGAAGCTAGAACAACAGATGTAAAAATGAAAAGAGTTCAGAATGCACTTGTTAAAGGGACGACCAATGTCGCCTTGGTAGCTGACTTAATTTTAAAGGAAACAGGAACTGATAAGGAACCACAGGAAGTACTGGACAAAATTTGGAAAGCCACTGAGGATGCGCTTGTGTGTTTGAGTGCAGCAAACTGGGAACTAGCCCAGAGGCGAAAGGATGCCTTGAAACCCCAAATAGCAAAAGATTACAGCCATCTTTGCTCTCAAAAAATAGCATTTACTGACATGCTGTTTGGTGAGAATGTAACCAAGCAGATAAAAGATATCACAGATGATAACAAAGTGACACATAAGTTGCTGGAAAGTAGAGCAGCACGAGGAAGTCGAAAGACATATGGGAGGTCTCAATACAGATCAAAACAAGGAGGAGCTTATAAAAGATATGGCAGTGGCAGAGCCCGTACAAGCCCTTATTCAAGATCTTTTTTAGGGGGACCAAATCAATATCGCCACTCATACCACCACAAAGGGAAAGCCAAGTCAACATCCACCGAGACAGCAACCAAGAAATAAACTCCTTATTGTCTCAGGTAAATATCCCAATAGCTGGCAGAATCCAGCAATTTTATTCTGCATGGGAGCAGATAACAGGCGATAAGAATATGCTTGACATGGTCAAAGGATGCCATATAACATTTAAGGAAAATGAGCAACACTCAAATCCACCCGGAATAAAATTTAATGCAGAGGAAAGTCAAATTGTTGACGAAGAAATAGCTAAACTAAGGAGAAAAGGAGTTATAGAGAAAACAAAAGTTTGTGCTGGACAATTTGTGTCCAATATTTTTCTTAGGCCAAAACCTGATGGAACTTATCGCACCATTCTGAACCTTAAAAAACTGAATAAGTTTGTGGAATACAATAAGTTTAAAATGGACACACTGTAGTCTATTTTGAAATTGGTGATGCCAAATTGTTATATGGCAACTATAGACCTGAGAGATGCCTACTACACAGTCCCTATAGCTAAGGAGCATAGGAAATACCTAAGATTTCAGTGGAAAGGGGAATTGTATCGGTATACCTGTCTCCCCAATGGTCTATCCTCAGCTCCGAGGCTATTTACTAAATTAATGAAACCCTGTTACTCACAGTTGAGGGTAGGGGGACATACTGTATCAGGCTATATTGATGATACATATATACAAAGTGAAGATTATTCAGGTGCAATGAATACAATCACAGAAAGCAAAAATTTGTTTGCTAAGTTGGGATTTATTGTCCATCCGGAAAAATCCATGAAAAGTCCTAGTCAAACTGTTAAGTTGCTTGGGTTTGTTTTAGATTCAGTACAGATGACTGTTACTTTAACAGGTGATAAGAAAAATAAGCTAAAATTGATTTTAGAGGACATAGTTAAAAAGGAAAAAAGTACAGTCAGGGATGTAGCAAGAGTAATTGGGAAAATGGTTTCAAGTTTTCCTGGAGCTCAGTATGGAAAGTTACATTTAATAGGAATTTGGAAAGTTCAAAAATTCAAGCACTAAAAGCAGGGGCAGGCAATTTTGACACAATGATGACTATCAATGAGGATATGAAAAHTGACTTAAATTGGTGGATAAAAAATCTTGACTGTGTAAGGGGATTAATTGCACGAGGTAATCCAGAGATAGAAATAGCTACAGATGCCTCAATGTTAGGATGGGGAGCTGTATGGGAAGAACTTAAAGCACAAGGGAAATTTATGGCCTTTGAAATTGAACACAATGAGAGCAACATCAATGCATTAGAATTGTTAGCCATTCTGTATGGGCTTCAGAGTTTTACATACAAACTTGCCAATAAGCATGTGCTAGTTAAGTGTGATAAAACTACTGCAGTTCCATACGTTAATAATATGGGGGGCACCCATTCAATCCTATGTAACAAGGTTGCAAAAACAATTTGGTTCTGGAGTATCCAGAACAATGTTTGGCTTACGGCAACACATATACCAGGAAAAGATAATGTGGAGGCTGATTTTCAGTCGAGACATTTTAATGAGCGTACTGAATGGGAGCTGAACATGTACACTGAGGTTTTCAAAACTGTATGTGAGATGTTGGGGGAGCCAAACATTGATGCTTTTGCAAGCTATTTAAATGCAAAGTTGCCAAACTATTATGCTTGGAAGTCTGATCCCAAAGCAATTCACATTGATGCATTTACAATAAGTTGGAAGAGTTCTTTAATCTATTGTTTTCCACCATTCAGCCTTCTAGGGCGGTGTTTGCAAAAGATTTCAATGGACAAAGCAGTTGCAATTGTAACAATGCCACAGTGGCCAACACAGAGCTATTATTATACCAAAGCTATGGAGATGCTGGTCAGCAAACCGATACTTCTTCCGCGAATCCAAGAGTTGTTGAAACTTCCAGGTCAACCAGCAAAGATTCACCCAATGTTTCCCAAATTGAACTTATTGGTATGCAAACTGTCAGGGGATCACTTGAAAGTTTGCAGATTTCTGGAAGAGCAGCCGATATCATTATGGCCTCATGGAGAGAGGGTACCCGTAAACAGTATRGCACGCACATCAACAAGTGGATCAAGTACTGTGGTAAAAAAACAAGTTGATTGTCTTCACCCAAATATAGGGGACATTATTGATTTTTTGACAGAACTATTTGATGTGGAACACTTGAGTTATAGCTCATTGAATACAGCAAGGAGTGCATGGAGTGCACTATAATTTCTATTAATGGATCAGCAGTCGGAAGTCATCCATTGGTGGTGAGATTTTTAAAGGGAGTCTACAACTTAAATCCACCAATAGTGCGTTACAAAAGTATCTGGGATGTTAGTGTGGTACTAAAGTACTTGAAAAGTTTTAAAGCATGTACATTGTTACACTTGAAGGATTTATCACATAAACTTGTAATGCTACTAGCTATAACAACAGCACAAAGACTGCAGACTCTTCAGATGCTCAACCTCGGATTGATGACAGTAGAAGCCAATGAGGTAATATTTTGTTTTAACTCGCCATKAAAGCAATCAAGCCCCAGGAATAGTGCCAAACCTTTGATTGTCAAAAAATATACTCCAGATGAGCATTTGTGTGTTCATACGATTCTACTGGAATATATAAAAAGAACCGAGGGATTCGTGGCAATAAACAACAACTATTGATTAGTTATCAGAAGCCATTTAAAAAGATATCACGAGATATAATACACGAGATACCGGTGGCTGAAGACAGTTATGCAAAGTGCAGGGGTGGATCTAAAGCAGTTCAAAGCACACAGCACAAGGTCAGCATCAACCTCAGCTGCCAAGAAATCGTTTGTTCCGATTGAAGAAATTTTGGCTAAGGCAGGATKGTCCACAGCCAGAACATTTGCAAATTATTATGATAAGCCCATTGTTCCAGTTGAAACTGATGGATATGCAGAGTCTATCCTAAGTCAATGTTAATTGTTATTGAATTAAAGTTATAGTTTAGTTGGAAAATACTTTCTTTGTGATTATAGTTGCTGTGCCAACTAAGCTTTRAAATCTCATGTGATCTCCAGTCACGTGGTAGTGAGGTAGAATTTAAAAATTAAACGACACTTACCTTTAAGTGGAAGTTTGATTGTAATTCTACCGATATAACACGTGACTGAGAGATTACATGTCCTCCCTCCACTCCCAAAATGTTATTATCTAAACATCAAAAACACAAATGGACAATCAAGTTGTTATTTTTTGAACTGATATTTCAAGTGGTCACTTTTGTGGAGCTCGTCACATAAAGCAGTGGCCAAACAATAAATACAAATATGTTGTAGTTGTCACATCAACTATATATGGCTTTAAAAGGTGACCGGTCATGGTGTAACGCAATCTCTCATGTAATCTCTCATTCACGGGTTATATTATCGGAGTGTCTAAACGTCAGGCAGTCGAATTTTTTCTTTAAAAATCGTCGAAACAACATGGCCAGAAATTCCGGACATTTGAGCCCGGAACGAGTCAGCGGGTTTTCCCACCAAAATAGAGCTTTCTACAAGTTCCCTTGAGTTTGAACTTTTGAAGATCAAATTTTCTACTCTTGTGCAACGATCCTTTATCTTAATACAATACTGGACTAAAATCGAAACGTTCAAAACATCGGCAAACGAGTATTGGGATAGCACGCTCTGATCCTTGAGTTCATTAGCTGGCTTGTAAGGTGGTCGTTTGGAATGTTCATAGTGTAAATAATATTGTTTGCTGGAACACACGTTTCCCTCAGGTATTTTAAACAATGATCATCAGTTGATATTGTGATCTTTTGTTTATACTTGTACATTTGTAAGGAATTTAAAAGGTCTGACATTGTTTACACTAAATAGCGTAGACTTGATCTTTCGTTCGTATTTCCCGCTATTTACCACTGCGCGCAAGGCGCCAGTAAAAACCGCCAAAATTAAAGTAGTCCTAGTCTGAAAGCCACGTTTCTAAGGTTTATTTTGGTACCAAACATGGCGTATAAAATGAAAAGAAAATGGAAGATCGAGGCCAATTATTCGCGTGAAACACGCGTCTTCGCCAGCCATTTCACCGTCAAGTTAGTTTTTGTACGATTTCTAGTACCAAAATGGACGCTGTTGATCGTCTTCAAAATAGCTGAAAATCGCTGTGTTCCTACTTCAATATGTGGACTTTGAGAAATGATCTATGGAATATCAGTAAAATGTAAAGGAACACGATCAGCCACGGTGAAATTTCGCTTCTTCGCGAATTTTCACCATGAGATACAAGGCCAAAGGGAGACGACGAAAGGAAAATATATGGTCAAAAAGGACGCTGTTAACAATATTGGATTTATTTGGATTTCCTACAGTGGAATCAAGAATAGTTTTCCTTTACGAATCCATCTATGGAATTTTTCCAATTAAAACAGATGAAATGTTATTCTCAAATATTTTTTTTGATCCATACATTTCTTTGTAAATTTTACATTCATGTTTTTATGCATTTATGCGAAGTACCGCTGCGATTGCGGGCTCAAATGTTCGGATTTTCTGGCCATACCGTAATTTTCAATAATACAACAAGTGGAATGCAATAAAGACCGAAATAATAATGTTCGACAAGTTTCAAACACAAGCACGGCATTTTGAGATTTTTCGACTGCCTGACGTTTAGTCCCAGAACTAAACGTCAGGCGGTCGATTTTTTTGTGAAAAAATCGTCGGAACAACGGTAATTTCAATTAATAGAACAAGGGAAATGCAAAATACCAAAATAATACTGTTCGACAAGCTTGTATAGTCACAAGCACGGCACTTTAACTGGATTTTTTGACTGCCTGACGTTTAGTCCCAGAACTAAACGTCAGGCAGTCGATTTTGTTTAAACAAATCGTGGGAACAACCGTAATTTCAATTAATAAAGCAAGGGAAATGCAATAAAGACCAAAATAATACTGTTCGACAAGTTTGTATAGTCACAARSACGGCACTTTGAGATTTTTTGACTGCCTGACGTTTAGTCCCAGAACTAAACATCAGGCAGCAATTTTTTTGTGTGAAAAATCGTCGCAAATAACCATAAATTCAATTAATACATCAAGGGAAATGCACTAAAGACCGATTCAAACACAAGCACGGCATTTTGAGATTTTTCGACTTTCACAACTCTGGTATATCTGTATTTTTCAAAAATTTAACTGCCTGACGTTTAGTTCTGGGAATAAACGTCAGGCAGTCGAAAAATCTCAAAGTGCCGCGTGTTGGTGTATACAAACTTGTCGAACAGTATTATTTCGGTCTTTATTACATTTTTCTTGTTGTATTAATTGAAATTAAAGTTGTTTCGACGATTTTTCGAAAAAAAAGTCAGATCTAAACTGTCCAAAGCTATCTTATCTAAGAATTAAAGGCGTAGGAGTACATTACAATAGCTATTGTGGCGATGAATGTCAATTGTTCTTTAGGTAAAACTTATTTTCATGTCGGCAAATAAGTTTTGCCTAAAGAACAATTGACATTCATCACCACAATAGCTTTTGTAATGTACTCCTACGCCTTTAATTCTAGTTTAGATAGCTTTAGACAGTTTAGATCCGCCTACGTATCCTATTGTAATCAGTGCGTCGCTTCTTCTATTGTTCCACCACTTATTGTAAACAAATATAAATACTTGCTTATAGTTTTTTTACATGGGCTTCCAAAGGAAGACCATGTCTTAAATTACCGACGTTTCGTCTGTGGTATGCTTCAAATTATATCCGGGACCTTTTCATTTTTGACATCTATTGTCTTTCTGTCATTCATGTTTCTAAGCAACGATTCAAAGGTCGCCTCGTGCTTCTTCGGATCTTCGTATAGCCGGCAAAGTTTTAAGATCGAACATGTCGGATCTAGGTCATCTACAAATACGCTAGATTCTTTTACAAATCCACACACCATTCACGGCATAGCCACACTAAAAAAATTCGAGCGTTTCTCAAAAGGGCATTTGGAGAGATGCGGCGAATTTATCGTGATGATCTGCCGATCGTGAATTATATCTATCAAACATTAGCTTATCAAAAGCTACCTTATACTAGTACAGGCTCTACAATCACCAAGGACTTATCTAAGACATGTCAACAGATTTATACTGAGGAAAAACAGAAGATTGGAATTATTTTAACCGAAGAACATGAAAGACTATCGATCGGTGTTTAATACAGGCAAGGATGCGACTCTAAAGTAACGGCTCGTCAAACATAAATTACTTCTTTCACAATATTATTAAATTCTTCTAAGTACATTGCTTGTTTGATTATTTTTCATTAAAGGAAATCTTTTTTTGCTGTTGTCTTAGTAATATTGATTACTCGGGGTTCCTGTGGAACCCAGAGTTTAAATTTCGGGCTTCTTATTTTTCTTATTTTTCTTTGTCGTCGCTTATCAGTCACAAATTGTCCACAGGTAGCCCAAGCTCATAATCACGTGATATTCTAAAAATGCTATTTAGAGGACAAATTAGCGAAATATTATTATTTTCCTCGATAGAACATCTAAGTTAAAGTATTATTGCGAAATTTTGAGCCAAAATAATGCTTTTTAACAGAAATACGAGCAAACGAAAATTGGTAAGAATGTATGGGATTATCACGGCTCAATGCGTTTTAGACAGGTCAAGAAATACCTACAAAAGGCTGTGTTTTAAGATCTAAATGAATTTTTCGTGTTCATGGCCAAAAACAGCATATAATTCCCAACAGTTATGCAAAGTTTGATGTAAAACTGCGATTTTTTAGCAAAAATATAAGCGTTTGAATATGGTCTTACTTTACAAGGGAATGTATGTGAAAGCCCTGATGGTGTACTATCMAGTACACAACCACGCGGACAGTAACTCCGAGTGTCGAAATAAGCTCAAAAGTAATGATTTTGCTTCAGTTTTCTAACAATATCATTCTAAAAATGTAATTTAATGCTGAGACTATATTTGTTTTAAGATTTATAGGCTTTCCGAGGTTAGTTTGGCGTGTTTCAAGCCTATTTTTGAACGTTAATAACTTAACGAATAAACTGCAAAAAAAAGGTGGAACTTTCAGAAAGAACTTCTATCATGCTCTTCAAGGTATTTTAAGGTATTTTTTACTTTAATGTTGTGTGTCTGTGATTTTAGAATTTTTTTCCACTGATTACGTCATGTGCAAACCGAGAATAGTCCGCGAGACTGATACGCGAGGTGGAAAAAGACAGAAATTCAACGTTTACAACGACG